CAATTCAGAGATGATTGGGGGATCTACAGCCGAGTGACACACAAATGAGATACATTGCTGTTAATAGTTGAGGTACTTGAATGTATTTTTAAGATTTAACTCCTGAGTTTTGTGTCACTTTAAGTGCAAACCCAACTATTTGCTGCATTTCAAAGACCTGCTGGAGTCATAGGAGATGATCGCTGCGTGGGGGCCACCAGTATAAAACAATTATCTTTACACATCTGATGTATGAGGCTGTATGGGTATCTTTTCTTCCAAGACCCGGGGGAGACAGGAGGAAAGCGATTACGGCTCGTGGCATTCATAGTGCACTAGGAAAATGTACAACGCTAAAGTGAAAATCCTATTTTGATTAAGTTACATTCATACCTGCATACCAATTGGGCTTAAAAATTCAATAGAACTAAATAAAAGACTGCTTAGCTTTGCGTTGTTTATCAACCGGACAGGACAGACTCTCTTTTATTTTAGCAGGCAGATAAGAGAATGTATTTTTTCAGTAGCTGTTATTGGAGAGGACAGGATGCCTCCGGGCTCAGATGCAGTCCCCCCGGAGAAGTCACAACAGGCCATACTTTGCTGTGTGCGGGTCTAGCAGTGGTATGATCTGCGGGGCTTTGAGGGCCGGCGTCTGACAGTTCATCTGAAAGGTCCCTCCAGCTGCCTGTGAGGTCATTAGCGGTGATCTGTCATGGAAGCCCAGCACAATGCTCAGTGTCAATCACTGGCTCTCCAGCCGATCAGGAAAAGTGTTCGGAATATAAAGCTTGCAGTTAATTGTCTGCAGAGTCCGGTCTATGCTAATAAAATTACAAAAACATAGCTACGGGCATACTGCTTCTAAAACTGCAGGCCGGGCACACAAAACCCCCCAAAAAACAAATATACACTCCTGGGGTCTATTTATAGATAATTCACACAACTTTCCCCCAAGATTTACACTTTTTTTTTTCTAATTGGATTCAAATGGAGAAGTGTGTAAATCCTAGGTGAAAACAGTGTGAATCTTGGATGAAACATTTAGGTATAGACCCAAAGTGTGTAGATGTGCATCATAAATAAAGCATTTTTGATAAAATACATACATTTTAGAAAAATATATGTGCAGGAATTGTTTATGGGATATCCTGTACAAATTTTATAATTGTCCCTCCTGTGTTTAATCTGGCATTTAAAGTCGACCAGAAATTGACCAATTAGTCTGACCTGCCCCCTCCCGCTGGTGGCCTGACCTGATCCAATCAGCCTCCCCCGCTGGTGGCCTGATCTGCACCCTCCTACTCTTAGTCTGACCCGATTGGCCTCCTCCTGCTCTTGGTCTGATCTGATTTGCCCTTTCTGCCCCGACCTGCCCGCTCCTGCTTATGGACCTCACTAAGGGCCCACTTACACTGTTGCATTTTATTGCATACATTGCAAAGTGGTAAAATACATGACCAACTACCCCATGTGTCTTGTTTTGTTTTAGCGCATAAGGAGGCCCATAGAAGTCAATCAGAATGCATCAAAATGCATGTTATATGTCTGAACCCACAAAAAAAGCAAACCTCTATGCACACGCATTAGATCTAAATGGGCCCTCTAAGATCCTTAATCTGTGCCTGCATGTTTTACTGATGCTGCCGTTATACTTTACAGTACAGGATAGAATTATGGAGATACCAATGCCAACTTGGTTTTCAAAAGTGCAATCTCCGTGCCATAATCCTTACCCCTTGCATTGCTACATAATCAGTCACTGAGCAGATTGGTTTGCTTCAAAGCTATGAGGGTGAATTAAGCATTTCTCCACCAGCGTCGTTAATTAAAAACGGAACGTCATCTGTGGTTATGTTAAATGAATGGTGCTGTCTTTCCGGCTTATTAAAAGCTCACGGCTCCTCAGCGACCTTGTAATCAATCCAAACCCCCGGGTAACCCGGCAATTAGCGTGAATGTGACTCCAGACATCAAAAGGCCTCAGCTCCCACCCAGGGATTCCATTATAAATGGCTTTTGCCTATTCCCTCTGCTGACGGTCACCTGATCGCTTAAGGGCCCCAAAAAGAGCAACAAGATTGCAGAATAGGGACCTACAAATACTGGCACACAGGAGGCATTTCTTACCCTTTTAAAAGTAATAATAATAAAAAAAAATACATTTTAAATCTATTTTAAAAAAACCAAAAGAAAGTTAATAGGGCATCTAGCATGCGGCCACAAGAGGGCCGTTCAGTGTACCGGGACTTACGCACAACCCTGAACTCTGACCCTCTGAGTTTGGGGCTGTGACTAATTTCCAGTATGCATGTAAACGGTGAGATTTGTGCACATACCTGTACAGTCACGGCAGCCAATATTCCAGCACAACACAACAAAGCCGTATGGCTATTTGCTGCACAGCTCTACCTGCTCTCTCAGTGAGACAAATCTTCCACAGTCTCCGCCTCTCTGCTGCAATGGTTCTTTCAGTCTCTAAGTCAGACTTCCACTCTCTACCACTACAACACTTACTCCCATTCATTCTGCTCAGATAGAGACAACCTCTCTCAACAGTGTTAAGGTGCCCACACATTGTAAGGTGTATGGGCACCTTAATACTGTCACTCAGACCAGACAGTGACCTGATTCGGCCTTCTGTCCATTGCAGGCTTGACGGGCATGGCCACACTATCCCACTTCATCTGTATCTATGGAGGGAGCCTTGGTTTTTACTAAGCTGCTCTCTTGACTTGGACTACAAACACATCTCCCTCTCTTTATCGCCATTCAGGCAGTGGGAACCCAGTATTTCCTGTTCAGGGGGCTGCTTACCTGTGCCTGCTCAATATGACCGCACCCTCACAATGTACGTCGTGCGGTTTGAGTCACGCGATATCACGCAAAACACAGATTCGCTTTGAAGTCAATGGAGGCTGTTCACACCTTTGCGGTTTGTCACGCGACCAAAATCGCCTGTCGCGCGAAAAGGTGCAGGTGCTATTTTCGGGTGCTTTTCGCACGGTTTGGGTCCCATAGACATCTCTATGCATTGAAAAACGTGCGACAACAGCGCGGTTTACAATGCACAGTCGCGCAATCGAAAACGAGTGGCAACCACACAAAAACAGCTCAGCATCTGTATCACCTAGGTGTGAACCTATCCTGAAGCTTAATATCAGTTTGTCCTGATGTAATCGTTTCAGTTCCATCTAAAATAAGTGGGCGGTAATATGCAAATACTGTTAATTATGCCAGCCTTAGCTCCACACAGCTTCCTCCCATGGGTAATTGCTCCGACTCTCCCTCGGTTCAGCGTACTTCTTCTTACTCTTACTTAGTAGGATGCTGACAGTTAAGCTGGCCATACCTTGGTCAAATTTCAAAAAACATGCAGTGTGTGGCCCCGTTTGGACCACCCATTGGAAAACCTTTGACTTTTGTAGAAGGAGCCTCTACATAGCATTTCAACCGAACAAGCTCTTGGTAAGCCAATTATAGCGGTGGGTGGGCCGCTGGCGGTGACTGAGGACTCCCCTTTTGCCTGCAGCAGAAAACACTTTCCATTAACTCCAGCTACGCTAACCCAGTGGGGAAGATTGCCCCATCCATACTGTTAGCATAGGTGGTGTTAATGGAAAGTGTTTGCAGCTGCAGCTTAGTGACAGCAGGCAAAAGAAGAGTTATCAGTAACCGCCAGGGGCCCACCCACTGCTATAATTTGCTTCGCAAGTGCCTGTCCGCGTACCCTGCGTAAAGACTCAAGGAAAATGTAGTTCTGCAGATGCCTGGATGTGATGTGACATAAGTGCACCGTAGAACCTACTTATCACGGGCGAGGGTCAAAAGTCATCTCTACCAGAGAGTTATGGTGTCACTGGCCATAAAATTGACCACTGCTGCAATGTCGGCAAGGTAGGGGGGAATGTTAAGTTATGAATCTACACCACAGTGACAGGAGAAGGGTGGGAAACTAAAAAAGATCATGTCTGATAATGAGCTTTTAATTTAGGAATACAGTGGTATCATCTCCCTGCCCCAAACTGCTGATTGGACAATAAAGGTGCAGCAACAGACTGATATCTCGTCTTCCCTTCAATGGTTAGTTAAAATTAGGGATGCACCGATACTAGTATTGGTATCGATACCGAGTATTTGGGAGAATACTTGTACTCTGCCAAATACTCTGATACGTACCCCTGATCCCGGACCTTTGCAGTGCTGCAAAGGAACATGGAGACAGACTGACCGGGAAGCCAGCTTCGCATCCAAACAGCATGGAGCTGGCATCCTGGCCAATCAGGACGCCAGGTGGCAGGTAATGACCTGCCTCCCAGGTTCCTGATTGGCCAGAAAGCCAGCATGATGCTGAATGGCTGGGAAGCCGGCTTCCCAGCCAATCGGCATTGAGCCGGCCAAACAGCATTGAGCCAGCTTCCCAGGCCATCAGAAGCCAGGCGGTGGGTAATGACATGCCTCCTGGCTTCCTGGTTGCCCGGAAAGCGGGGTCCATGCTAGCAGAAGTACCGGACATATAAATATAGATACTCATACTCGATAACCGAAAAAATGGTATTGGTGCATCCCTAGTTAAAATAGTCACAAGAGGTGACAGGTTCGCTTTACAGTGGCATTAAATATGAGCTTGATGAACACGCTGTAGGGTCCATTTAACGTTCAGGAAGCCAGACTACCAATACTCCGCACGATTTTTCAGTTGGCCAACACAGCCACCCCAATAGTTTTCTTTAAATTATTTTCTAAGAAAGAGGCTCTATAAAGCCGGAACATTTTCACAAACATTGTACCTTCCGTAACTGAAACAAATCACAGAGCTGAAATGCTTTCATGAAAGTTTGATAAGTTCTACAAACAGCGGGAGTCTGACGAGCATCTCTGACAAAACTCTCACCAAACCGCCGGACACAAGAGGATTCCATTAGCCTCATCCATTATTCCCTTTCATAGCTGCAGCCGGCTTGTTAATCGCAGAAGGGGGACGCCTCTTAAAATGTACCGAAATAAAACGGTCAACGCACCTTCTGTGTTCCTCCCGGAGGGCACGAGCGGTCGGAGGGGGATGATGATGTGATCGGCACTCAGGCCTTCATTGGAATGATTCTCCGTCACGTGCAGCAGCAGCTCCGAATGGCTGGGAGAGAACAAGTTACACAGTTTACACATGTAGATCGAGCTCGCACCTACAAGACAAAAGTAGAAACAAAACGGCAAAGTAAAATATTCTGACGGACGTACATTATTCTTAACATAAATCTCCAGACAAATAGCTAACACCTGACTTTTTTAACCACTTCCCACCGACAATCAACTATCACCAACATAATGACCCTTGCTGAGACTACGGTAAGAAATGACAGCCCCTTTCAGAGCCAGCAGCCAAGACTTGGCGTGGCTACACGCTCACATTCTGAGCGGTCACTGACGGGCTCCCCGTGGACAATCGGGAACAACATTTTAGGGATGCATCGATACTTTGAGTACCAATGCCGATACTTGAAATTTTCACGAGAACTACCCGGGTTGCAGCGGTTGCAGCTGGGACCCGGCTCTGGCACTCCACCACTGTCCTGAAATCATTAGTCTGTATTGTTTTAGAAAAACTGTAACATGACAATAAACAAAAATGTATCAGTACTTGTAATTGTGAAAATGCCCCGATTTTTAAAGGCCGATACCAGCCCTTTAAATTTTCAAACAGCAGCGGCCGTCCGAGTTCCCACGCTGGTGGGGACCTCGGCACCCTGCTGGTGACCTGCAGATAGAGAACCGGACAGGCACTGCCATGGACAGCTATCTCCTCCTACTCCTTCCCGGCACAGCCATGGATATCCCCGGGGGCGGAACTACCTCCCCAGGGCTAGAAGCTGGGGGTTCCCGCCGCACACTGATGGGGGTACTGAGACGGTACGGCTGGACTGGGCGTGGGGGAGGCCGGGTTCCGATATTGCCAGTGAGGTGAAGTGCCCGCAGAGCCACTGCAGATGCGCATGTCGCACGGGTGAGATCGACACGCAGCCTGGTGAGAGCAATTCTGCCTGAGGGACATGTGTTCTGCTTTGGGATCATGTATCCTGTTTTGTGGACATGTATTCTCAGAATACATGTCCCCAAAGCAGTATACTATTCTGCCTTAGGGACATCCGTATTTAGCCCGGGTGAGAAACTGCCCTAAAATCATTAGTATGTTTTAGAAAAAAATGTCACATGTTCCTGTAAGAAAAAGTATTGGTAATTGGTATCGGCGAGTACCTGAGGACAAGTACTTGTACTTGGTCTTAAAAAAAGTGGTATTGGGACATTAAATAATATGTATACATATTATTTGCATAAGCAAATTAATCATAGAGTTAGTGTTAAATTAACCAATGCATGCTGTCGCTGCTAAACTGGGCCTCAATATCTAGGCATCAATGACCTCTCATCACGAAAGGGTTATGCAAGACAACTAGGTCTTGTCCCTTCCCCAGTATGTCATTGAAAAGGAAAAGCTGCAAACTTATGAGCACACTCCTCTGTTCTCCCTTACTATTTTTTCAAGATTCCTGTAATATAAGACCTACCCCGAAAATAAGAACTAGTTTGGTGGTAGCATGTGAGGGGGAACTTCAAAAGCAGGAGAGATGATATCAGCCTGCAGGGACATACTGTATTAAGGGGATGACAGGAGACTCCATCTGGCCAGCTCAGTGACAGGGAGCTCTCCAGTACCATACTTCACCAACTGCTGTCCCCCTGAAGGCACTGTTTAATGTAATGGCACGGTACTTTAATGTGTACCTGTAAATGGTACCGTACTTTACCGCGCTGTCCACTGTCTGATGTCCCCTCTGCTGCACCGCTGGTACCACTGTCCCTGATGGCAACGGAGGCCGGCGCTGTAGAGAGCAAGGCGGCGGAGGGAGCAGAGTTGCATTAGCCGATACTTCCTCTATAGCGCCGGTTAATAACTTTGAACATAACTTTGGATTGTTGTACATTTTGTTGCACATAAAAAAAAAAAAATAAGACATCCCCTGAAAATAGGACCTAGTGTGTTTTTTTGCGGCAAAAAAAAAATAAGACAGTGTCTTAAATTTCGGGGAAACACTGTATATGAATAGTTTTAGGATTGCCTCCATTTTTACTGTTTGCCTGAACTAGAAATGTGAGTAGAAGTCTCCCCGAAAAGAGGTGAAATGCACCTTTTGATAGTCGACACCAGAAAGAGTGTCCCTTTGGAAGATATACCTCAGTCTACATCCCATTGACTATGATAAAATTTTGGTTTTCTGCTCACTTTTTTTGTCTTGATGAAACTGGTCACCATGACAAGTTGCGATGGTTAATTACCCCAAGATGGCTGGGAAGACTCCCACTGGTATTTTTAGTCCATACAAACAGGAAAAAGTTTAGGTGTGGAATATCTAAACTCTGTTACTTTGCCAACCTTTATAAACATGACCCAGTTGCTGTAATTAGGGATGCACCGATACCAATACTAGTATCGGTGCCGATACCGAGTATTTGGGTGAGTACTCTTACTCGCCCAAATGCTCTGATACTTACCTGATACTTACTGATGCAGTGCCGACGGAGCATGGAGCCTGCTTCCTTTCTAATGAGGATGACCCGCCTCCCTGATTGGCTAGGAAGCCGGCTTCACTTGTTGCTAGGCAGCCTGGCTTCCTAACCAATCAGTAAGCCAGACGGCACATCATGGTTGGGCAGCAAGCCAGGCTGCCTAGAACAAGTAAAGTTGGCTTCCTAGTCAATCAGGCAGCTGGGTCATGACGTGCCGCCCGGCTTCCTAAATGGCAAGGAAGCCAGCTCGACTTGTTGCTAGGCAGCCTGGCTTCCTGCCCGATCAGTCAAGTCACCTCATGACTCGCCGCCCGGATTCCTGATTGGTCAGGAAGCCAGGCAGCCTCGGTAAGTGAAGCTGGTGTTCTTTCACTAGAACACCAGCTTCACAGGCAATCAGAAAACCGGGTGACGGGTCATGATCCGCCACCCGACTTCCTGATAATCGGGGTACATCGCACCGGTACTCGGCATTGGCAAGTATCGAAAAAACGGTATCAGTGCTGTAATACGAGTTATTAAGCAGGAGGGCTTTGTTATTTTTCGGCAAAATGGCGCAGTACCTTCATTTGGTCTGGAGATGTCATTGTTGCAGCTGTTCTCTACCGAATGCATTTGGCCGACAACTACACCACTCCATAGACACCAGCGGAAACATCAATACGAGTGATCTGTAAAATTAAACATAGTATACCAAATATGCAAGCAAGAACAACAATCCTGAGTTCAAAAAGTGATGTCATAGGGCCCTAGGTATCATTGCTATTAATCCCTGGTTGCTGTGGGTAATAAATGCAGTGGCTGTTTGATGGCATCAGCTAACGACAATGTATTTTAGAACAGCACGTCTCAATTGTGGTCCACAGACTTGGCTATATTGGGTGGTCAATGGAAACACAACTTTAAACCCTGCTTTGGTGTCAATTGGTGTGGTAGGGCTCTAAAACCATTCCCCAATTGGCACATTGATATAATCCTAAAAGCATTGGGCCATGAAAATAATGCAGAATAAGAGAGTGGTGGCCTCCAGGAAGAGGTAAGAACCAGGCAGGAGTGAGAATTAGGGTATGTGGTAGAAGATTTGAAGCAGATGGCAACCGACACAGTATTAACCCACAATTATGTGCTGTCGGCGTTAGACATGCCCATAGGTTTTACCCAACAGGGAAACCTTAAAACCTGATATTGTCCCTCATTTGGCAATGTCCATTCTTACCACCCTGAACATGTTCTAGCCCAGCAGTATGAAATGTTTGTCCCTGGTGAATATTGTTTTCCATATTGTCATCATAAAGTCAATTTTTCATCATAAAGTCATGACTTTCTGCATCGCAGAATCAGTGTATTATCTGTGAACAATAACCTGGGCTTTTCACATTCAGGCCAAAGCAACACGATTGCTTTGATCCTCCCATCTGCGTGAGCATATACAGTAAAAAAATATGAAGACACCCCTTTAAATTATTGAATTCAGATGTTTCCAGCGACGGACAGTGGTAATGACGCACACTTCCTTGTGACAACAGTTTGGGGAATGTAATTTTCTGATTTAGCATGATTGTACCCCTGTGCAGCCAGCATGCCATGCCAGCTCCATAAACACATGATTTTGATGGGTTTGGTGAGAAGGAACTTGACAGGCCTGAACAAAGCCTTGACCTCAACCCTACTGAACACCTTTGGAATAAACTGGAACACCAACTTGGAGCCAGGTCCTCGGCTCCAACATAAGTATCTGATCTCACAACTGTTCTTTTGGTTGAATAAGCACAAATACCAACAGACACACTCCACAAATCTTGTGGAAAGCCCAGAAGGGTGGAGGCAGGAGGGGTCAAAACAATATAAATGCCCATGGTTTTGGAATGAGATATCCAACAAACTCATAGTTGTGATGGTCAGGTTTCTATAAATTTCTGGTCATAAAATGTACTTATCTTAACTTTGCATACATAGTAGGGATGCACCGATACCTTATTTTTACAGTATCAAGTGCGAGTACCGCTATTGACTGACACCGGTACTTCTGGTAGCATGGAGCTGGCTTCCAGGGCAATCAGGATGGAGCCAGCTTCCCAGCCAATCAGGAAGCCGGGTGGTGGGTAATTGCTTCCTGATTGCCCGGGAAGCTGGCTCCATGCTGATTGGCCGGTAAGCCGGCTTCCCAGCTAATCAGGAAGCCGGGAGGCGGGTCATTACCCGCCGTCGGGCTTCCTAATTGGCCGGGAAGCTGGCTCCATGCTGATTAGCTGGGAAGCCGGCTTACCGGCCAATCAGCATGGAGCCAGCTTCCCAGCCAATCAGGAAGCCGGGTGGTGGGTAATTACCTGCTGCCCGGTTTCCCGATTGGCCGGCTACATGTTTCTTCGTGCCACTGCCGGTCAGAGGAAATCTCCCTCTGACCCCAAGTTCTGGTATTCGAAGGATCGGAGCATACTTGTACTCACCCAAATATTCAGTATCGGCACTGATATCGATACTAGTATTGATGTTGGGGCATCCCTAATTCCTGGTGCTCCGTTCAGCACTGGAAGCTGAAGCAAATGCCTGGTAGTTCTTAACATGGATATGAGTAGTTTATGTAAGGGTTTCCCTTCGCTCACATCCGCTGAACAAAGCAGCCAGTGGATGAAAAGAAGGCAAGTAAACTGTGCTGGGATGGGGTGGATTAAAGCAGAGCATAAAAAAAATGTTAGGTGGGAAAGCATTGAGGTTTACTTTACTATCTGCTACCTCAAAGGTAAGATTCCAAGAATAGAGCCGGCTGCCAGAATAATGTGCGCATGTGCAGTAGTAACAACATCAGTGGCCACCCAATGGGCAAACAGATTAGATGTTGGGCCAGAAGAAGCAGAGGAAAAGCTGGTGGAAGAGTGGCAAAGGAGAGCATAGAGCTATCAGCACTGGAGGAGGACAAACTCTGCATCCTTGCACATTATGACAACAGATCTCATGACTATTCCCCTTACATTTCTCTTTTAACCCCTTAATGACCAAGGCCTTTTTTTTTTTTTGCACCCATGTTATAATCCACCTAATTTTAGGCCTGAAACTACTTCAAACCCCCAAACAATATATATTTTCTGAAAGCCAAGACCCTGTAGAATAAAATGGCAGCAGTTGCAAATTGTTATGTCGCATGATGTTAGCGCAACGTATTGTCAAACCCAAAAATGTTGTGAAATATGCACCTAAATACAATAAAATAATAATTTTTTAAAAACAAAGTATAAAACATGGAGGTTACAACGAGTAAATAGATACCCAATATGCCCAGGTTAACAATTGTGTGCGTTTGTGAAACGGCGAAAAAATTCAGTGCCCCAAAAAGTTCATAGACAGCGCTTTAAAAGCCACCACAGGTCATCAGTTTAGAGATACAGTATGTGTAAATATGTTGTCCGTAGTTATTGCTCTCACTCTGGCATGCACGGCGATGCCCAACATGTGTAGCGCGATAATTTTTGTACGTAGGCGCACCCAACGCGTGTTTGCGTAAAGACGCGCATGCTCCCAGGGGCGGGGAACTTGAAAAAAACATTTGTTTAAATTATTTTACATTTATGTAATTTAATATTTTTTTAAAGTTATTTTTTTAATACTTGAAATACTATCACATAGGGGGGCCAATATGCTACCACAAGTCCCCTATGTAATAGCATATTGGCAGTGACAGGTCCTCTTTAAAGGTAATACTGGGGGTCCAAAAGACCCCGTGTTACCTTTACACTTCAAATAGGATATTGAAGTGCAGATCGCACATCAATAACTTATACCTGGGCTTCAGGAGCCCAGCACTGACATCGCAGGGACCGGAAGTGATGCAATATGCGTCGCTCCCAGTCCCATAGAATGGAGAGGAGATCAGTGAACGGACGTTCGCCGCTCTCCTCACGAGCTTCCCGCCGACACCTGAGATGCCCGCCCTTGCCCACAGGAGGGGCAGTGCCTTTTTTTTTTTTTATCCGATTAATCGAACTTAATAATCGGCCAACTAATCGATTATGAAAATAATCGTTAGCTGCAGCCCTACATAGAAGCTATCTGGCGACAGCTGAGTCGAACGAAAGCGCTTCTATTGTAAACCCAGCCGCCGGCCCTACAAATGTAAAAAGAGTCCCCGCGTCTGCTTAAACGGGCCCGCTGCCAGTGATGTACTATGTACGTCACTGGTCACAAAGCGGTTAATGCAACGCATATCAACAAACAGCACCACGGTGTGGATCAACGCATATATTTGGGACCCCAGCCTTAGACATTGATCCAGAACAAATATGCAGCAATTCAGACAGTCACCTGATCTTCACACTTGTTCTAGTCCAGTACAGGTATAACAGCCAAGCCAATAGCATTTTCATCAGAAGGTCAGCAATAGCATCCTAGGTATCTCAGTACAGGTTCCCTTTAATACACCGGCCTTCTCCGGTTCCATTCTCTATTGTTTGTTGCTTGGGATAAATACAGCAGTTTGCGACAGCATTGTTATCTTCGTCTGCCCCAGTAACCCTCTGCGCAGTTCATTCTGTCAGCGCAGGAAAAAGAGCAGCAGTGTTAATTAGCCGATCGTGTTGAAAACGACTGTTTACGCTTAAGATCCAGACTGAACTGAGCCAGATAGTCGCCTCCATCTGTCGGCCTTTAATGAGGGGGAGGAAATCTCCGGCTGGGAGTCCGGATTAAAAGACTGCACATACTGGAGGATTCCAACCCTGAAGATCAGAATTCAAAAGGAACTGCATACAGGCTGACTAGGATAGGAAGGAACACAGCCTAATGACAAGTTATCATGTTTACAACTAGACGTCTACAGAGAATGACAACTGTTCTGAATCAAGACTCTCTCTTGAATGCTAAAGCCAAAAACAATGGTTCCTCTTTCCTGGGACGAACCTAAGGCTGGCCATAACACTGGCCTGGACCAGCCTTTTTCATCCAGGGTTAGGTGGAACCCTAGGGTTCCTCCTGAGGTTGCTAGGGGGTCCTTGAAAAATCGGCAACTGTTGACTCTAAGATATGTAACCAATGACACCAGTAATCTTTATATCCATCAGTCCCACTGACCACCAATGTAAGGGGCATTCTTCAAAATGGCCACCAACATAAGCAGGCACTGCTCCACTGACCATCAATAAAATGGGACATTCTTCCACTACTGACAATGTAAGGGGCATTCTTCCAAACGGTCACCAATATAAGGGGGCACTCCTCCAATGATCATCAATGTAATGGGATTTTTCTCCACTACCACCAATGTAAGGCGCATTCTTACCACTGACCACCAATGTAAGACGCATTCTCACCACTGACCACCAATGTAAGACGCATTCTTACCACTGACCACCAATGTAAGACGCATTCTTACCACTGACCAAAATGGCCACCATTCTTCAAAATGGCCACCAACATAAGCAGGCACTGCTCCACTGACCATCAATATAATGGGACATTCATCCACTGCCACCAATGTAAGGGGCATTCTTCCCACTGACCACAAATGTAAGGGGCATCCTTCCCACGGATCACCAATCTAAGGGGCATTCTTCCAAATGGTCACCAATGTAAGGGGGCACTCCTCCAATGATCATCAATGTAATAGGATTTTTCCCCACTACCACCAATGTAAGGGGCATTCTTACCACTGACCACCAACATAAGGGGAATTCTTTGTAAT